AAGGTATTATCAGATTTGGGATGGCACGGCAGGAGGGAAGGAATGGTGCCCAACCATTTGGATGGTTGGGGATTGAACTCTTATCAGAGAAGACATCCATTATTAGAATAACAAGGTGCAAACCATGCCCCTTACAGTTGAAATCTATTTACAGGTATTTATATAAAAGAAAGTACATTGGGTTGTGAGAATACATAACATACATTAAGAGGTACATTGCAGCAAAATTTGAGTTGACAGATTGGGTAGCACAAGATACAGTGCGAGTTTGAAACACATTTAGAAACAAGGCGCCGCCAAAAGAAGCTAATTTATTATGCACTTTATACTTAACCAGTGAGTAGTGGAGCAAAACATAGATTACATGATCATAAAGTCTTAATCCGACCTCAATGGCTATTATTAAATTATCATTTACAACTAACTTAAGCCAATAACTTTTTCACATTCAAGGAAAATAACACTCTCAAGGAAACATGTACATCACAAAACTTATATATATAATGTAGGTATACATTAGTCTATCAATCCCGTGACCCAAGGCGATAAGTGCGCCAGGCGTCGTACAACCGGACCGATGAAGAGGGATGCCAAACGGCAGTAGCAAAGCCAAAACACAAAAAGAGAACGTGATCAGGTAGCAGACGTCCGCTCGTCGTCAAAGTTGAACCAGGAGTCCATCATCGTCGTTGATTTAGGGGCGCCGACGATCAAGGGATCAGGTGCGCCCCAGCGTGCCCGTATAGGGTTAATCGCAAATCCTAATGGCGAAACGAAGTCGCATATCACCATACACTAAGATGCCTCTCGTCAAAAAAACGCACAGACAGGCAGATGACTGGGGAGCCCCAGAGGTCCCACTGAGTGACAAGCACCATCCCCGCTCCACAGAGAGAACACCAGGTAGCAAAACCAAAAACTTGGCCCTCAACTAAAACACTCGCCTGGAGTGTGTTTGCTGGCATATCAGCCTCCTGTACACAGTGATCCAGTCGTCGCACTTCTCTGCTCAAGTTGTCGCAAATTTAATTTGTGATATTAACAAGTAGAATGCGCATTTATAATATCTAGCATAAATAGCCACAAAACATTTAATATTTATTTAAACAAAGTGTCTGAAAGTTAAATCAACTCCATAAGACACCCATCACTGTTTTCACTAACTTGCATATTTTTGGTATATAAAGTCGTAATTTAAAACTCCAATTATGTGCAATCACCATGAATTCCTCTCATACATAATGCCCATGAGTTATATTTCAGATATTTTGAAATTAGGAATATTTTGGAATACATGAATTTCGATCATACATAACATCCACAAGTCATATTTCAAATATTTTGAAAACTGTAGGTCAATTTGGGCAAAATATCACCCATCCTCTGTCTTCACCAATTTGCATAGTTTCGGTATAAAAAGTCATATCTTAAAACACCAAATATGTGCAATCACCATGAATTCCGATCATACATAACATCCACGAGTCATATTTCAAATATTTTGAAAACTATAGGTAAATTTGGGCAAAATATCACTCGTCGCCGTTTTCACTAATTTGCACATTTTCTCGCTTTCAATTTTACTTGGCGATGCAAGTAACCATTGAAAGGGCTGAATGGCTACCTTGGCTACCTTGAGGTGCTTCCGGGTCTTAGTGTCCCCGCGGCTCGGTCGTCGACCAGGCCTCCTGGTTGCTGGACTGATCAACCAGGCTGTTAGACGCGGCTGCTCGCAGCCTGACGTATGAGTCACAGCCTGGTTGATCAGGTATCCTTTGGAGGTGCTTATCCAGTTCTCTCTTGAACACTGTGAGGGGTTTGCCAGTTATGCCCCTTATGGGCATAACTGGCATCCTAGAGACTGACAGGGAATACCAATTCCACAATGCTTATTTGATCCAATGTCTAAGCAAGGCTAACCAGACAAGACAATTGATTCAGGTGGCCTGCACTGAATTTCTTCAGTTTACCCCATTACCTCAACCAAAGAAGTACATTGTCCCCCAGAGGCTGCAGCCACTGGGTAAGCTCAACTCCCAGATGGAGGAACACCAGGGAATTTAAGGGCCTCCATACACAGTAAATGTATGGGGTGTATTTTGCTTGTGCACCAACACAGCAGGCAGAAGAGGGGAGCAAAAGTCTCCCCTCTCCCACCTGTGGGCAATGTACAAGTCCCCCCACCACAGCAAAGCAATGCCAACTGAAGGGGACACCCCTTGGGAAAGTCAGTCTTTGATATCAAGGGACCTCGGTAAGTCAAACAAGCTTCCTGTCCCTGACAATAGGAGAGAAAACTAGGATAATTCAGTTTATGCTTGACTTCTCTGAAGATATCAGGAGCATTTACATGTGACAATGTAATCAGCATTGAATTCTTAGATTTGATAAAGGACTTTCAGGAAAAAGAAATTCAATTAAGTCTAATCTTTACTTGAAGTTTCTCTATATCATTTATAGAAGACATTAGGGAGCAATTGTTATGGCTTATACAGTATATGATTCTACTTTCTAACAAACCTTCAAAATTCAACCTGAATTCTCAGTTAAGTACATTAAAAACCAATCCCCCAACATTGTGTAATGTGCTGGTAAAAACTGGAAGCATCTAGTTTCATGAAGTATGCATTATACACCCAAGAAATTCAGGCAAATATGGCAATATTCTGTATTATCTTCAAGAAACACTGATAATGTTAACTCAAATTATTATTTGCTTGTAACTTTATATTTAAAAATATACAATTACTGCAATTACAAAATCCATTACATTTTGCTATACTCACCATCCATATAAAGAAAATTATACATGTATATAAACACTGCCCAAAACAATTCAGTTACTGTATATGCACAGAATGAGAAACTAATGTTTTCGGTATACAGTACCTGTACGTGCTGTATTATGGAAAATCGTTTTTTTTTATATGTAACAATATTACCTAGTTAATAAAATATACTTCTGCATTTAATAAATTCTGTATAACAAATGTGAAAATTTATTATAGGAAACTGCTTGGAGATAAGGATTTTGCACTGAAGTGATTTAATCTGTACAACATTTTAAGGCAAAGAGCACCAAAGTCAAGATCTCCATTCTATATCCACAACACCTGAGTTTAATCACATGGCCTGTCAGGAAATCATCTTCATTTGCATGTTCCTAACTATCCAGTTCTGGCATACTAAAATACTACACCAAATTATACTTTGTTTTCCTATATGATACAACACCACAGTGGAAATCTTATCTTATACGATGTAACACCACAAATAGCATTCATGTACTTTAAAGGATTAACACTTCATTATTAACTTATTTAAAATGATAAAGTAACCAAGGTAAGTATGTGGAACTATGTAAAAATGAAGCCAATGCACTTTTAAACCTTTATCATAGAGGGCTACTTATTTTTTTATGGAACAATAAAAATCTAAAACAAGCATTAGGGAGCTGAAAAAGACTGTAGATTTGTGTCAAATAAATCTTTATGAAGACTTAGAATTCTAGAATTCTTGCACTAGTTTTCTGCACCAGCAATCATACCTTACCTATCAAAGTACAGTATGTATTTTCCAAGAAACTAGTTATGTCTATTTTGTAACCTATGCCCTACCTTTCTCAGACTGTTCTGTCTTGCAATTCATGGCTCTCAGCCAAAAATGATTAGTTGGAAGCTCTTTCCTGTATCATAGATTTTGCACAGACTATAAACACATAATTGAAAAATTCTTTGTTTATCAGCAAATATGGACGGATATCTAACACTAAACACAAACATAAAATAATGGTGACATTATCCTAACTTTTTTTTTTTTAAAGATGCAAAAGATACTATCTCGAACATTACAGCTCTGTATAATCCAATAGATATTTACATTTGCATTTTTTATTAATTTCTCCAAATTATAGCTTGGCAGGAATCTTCCTGAAATTTTTTGCCTATTAAATATTTTCACCTTTTCATGTATAATAACTAATACTTCAAAAACAGTGCTTAAAATGTGTAAGAAATTATATACCAGTATCTAATCGGACTGTCAGATAGAGACACCACTCACTGTATGTAGTTAACAAAAATATATAAAAATGAAAGTTATGTTCCCTAGTATATATTCAGGTTAATAAGATAGAAAAGATAAAAGCCCAAAGGTATGAGACTCAGTACAGTATGCTGGAAAAAAGCCACTTCTTTTAATTTAACACTTTCGCCCGGGCATGACGCAGCATTGCGTCATCCGTTTACTGTCGGTAATGCCGGGGATGATGCAGCTTTGCGTCATCCACTTTAAATAATCGCCAAAAATCAGGTTTTTATCCGATTTTTTGGGGACTATTTTTAAAATGCGCGCCGATGTCTTCCCATTTTCTTTGTTGAGCCTCGTGGCCCTCAGGCGGCTTGGCACATGCCGTGGGTCCATTGTTTTCGCTTCACTGTTGTGACCAATGTCTCCTCCCCTCGCATCTCAAACGTGTGAACATTTCGGCTATTTTCCGTGGCTATATTTCTTACTGCGGCTTTAGAAACTATCTACGCTTACTCCACGATGAATAGTGATCATGAACAAGGCCCTTCCAGGAAGAAAATTGCGAAAGAAAGGCTTGAAAAGGGCGGGAATTGGGAGTGTAGCTGGAAGGCATCCGAGCGCTCACTCGCGGCCAACGCGTGGCCCGAATTCAACTCGTCGGCGGTTGGAGCGTGACCAGGTTTTTTATTTTATATGCTAATGTTCCTCTAGAGAATTCTATTGCGAACCCATTGAGACCAAAATGAAAGACCTAGGACAAAAATTGAGGTGACTAGAGTGAAAATAGTGAAAACATTTTATCGCGTTTGCGCGTTCCTGGGTAACTCGTTCGCACTTTCTCTGTTTGCTGCGGGTAATTAGCCAGGCTTTTGGAGTTTATATGCATTTAGTGCTGTAGAGAATTCTATTGCGAACACAATGATACAAAATTTAATCTCGTAGGACGAGAATTAAGGTGACAAATGTTGAAGAGAGTACTGTATACACTTTTCAGAATTTACGCGCGCTCCCGTGACACCCTGGGACCCAAATCGCACAGTTGAGGGGTGGCGCGCGGGGTACGCCAAAGTGTTAAAACTAGTCATATAATAATCAAACAATAAATGAAATATTTTAATTTTGGACGCTCATCACTACAAGTATTTATAATCTTTCCAGTGTTCTGACATCAATTTCCGATCTACGTCGTTCATGTTGGTATCATGTTGTTCGCAATCTAAAGGTGCACATTTTAAAAGCTAGTCCCATAATAATCGAACAATAAATGGAATTTTTACAAATATTTTAATTTTTTGAGCTCATCACCCCAAAAGTATTCATAATCTTTCCAGGGGTTCTGACCTCAATTGTCATGCTACGTCGTTCATTATGGTATCAAATTGTGGGCAATCTAAAGGCACTCATTTTAAAAACAGTCCCAGAATGATCGGATACAAATTAGAATTTTAACAAATATCTTAATTTACGACGCAATAAGAGTGAATGGTGTACATCTGTGAGAATTTTTTTTGATTCGCTATGAGTGATCACCAGACGAAAGTGTTAAGGTCGTGTGGAGTAAGTAATTATCAAAAAAGGCACCAATCCAGGTAGACAATATTTTCATCATCAAAGTTGCAGAGTATCCAAACAGCGCTAAATATCACTAAGGATGCCAATTCAAGAACAAAAGTACATAAGGCAATACCAAAGTTATCAAATAGAGACAAATGACCACAAGGGACAGCAGGGAAGCAAGACACAAATGTTCTGAAAATCATGACATTCAAGGAGATGCACGACTAAGAGAGACAATGCAGTTAGGCCAATAAGGAGCATGGCAGAATTACATAAGTGCCCGTGAGTTAAACTTGTATAGCCACTATATAACCTTGCCAAAGCCATTTTCCACCACTGGTTACAGTGGTAGAAGGAAGGCTAATGGGACAGGCTACGTTTAAGAGCACACAGTTTGTTACCAGGAACACAAAACCAATGACCCTGCCAATGGGCACGGACTGATGAATGAATGACTGGGTAGAAATTGGAATAAAGAACACCTTTTCAGGAAATAGAATAAGTGCAGATAGCCTCCTTAGTGGCAGTATCTACACGCTCATTTAAGGAAATATCAATATGGCTGGGAATCCAGCAAAACTCAACCTGCTTAAATCTACTAGATATTAGAAACAGCCAATATTGGATTTCAACTACCACAGGATGTAGGATTAAATGACTTCAAAGCCATGAGAGCACAACTAGAGTCAACCACAATGACAAAGGTGTGCTGACAATGGAAAATTAATCGATGAAGGGCATATTAGATTGTATACAGTTCAGCCATGAAGATGCTAGCCTCCAGAGGTAGGCAGCACATTGGTTTGGTCTGAAAAGACAACAGAGTATCCAACACCGTCAGCAGACTTACACCAATCTGTGAAGAGGACAACAGTATGTGAGTGCAAAGAAAAATGTTATAGGAAAAGGCATTTCAGAACAATAGGCGGGATAGAAGCCCTCTACATGGGTCAAAGATTTGCAAACTTCACAAGTGGGACTCGCCAAAGCAATAAGGATGGAATGATACAAAGAAAGACATTGGTTACAAACCTAAAGGGAAGCTTGTAAGCAAGACATCCAAATAGAAAATGGAAGGGGAAAGGGAACAGGGGCCCATCAGATGGGCAACAGCCAAAGCCTGGCAAAAGCGAGAATGAGGATGTTGCAGAGACCTCACAAGATAGCAAAGGCAGTAACGATTTCGACGATCCTGGAATAACAAGACATCTGTTTCAACATAATAGCTCTGGATAGGGGATGAACAAAAGGCATCAGAGCTGAGGTGCAACCCAGCATGGTGCAGAGCATCAAGACAGCAGAGTATCGAAGGAGAAATAGACGAGTTGGCAGGGCAGCCATAATCCAGTTTAGACAGCCCAAGAGGAGTGCAAAGTGAGGAGGGTGCGTCTATCAGCACTGCAGGAAGTACGGGACAAGACTCGAACTAGAGTAAGGGCCTCAGAGCATTCGAGGGACCAAGACAAACAAGTGTCAAATCAACTCCAGAAGTTTAGCAGAATTCTTATAGAGAAGGGGACTACCATAGAACAACAATAGGGAATGAAGAACAACCTGCCTGTGAGTAAACATCATAACACGAGTCTTAAATGTAGAGAACTTGAAGCCATGATTGGTGGCCTAGGACAACTCAGTGTCAACCGTAAGTTGAAGCCAGCGTGTGAGGCCATTAGGTAACAGGAAACGCGCCTAGCCATTTCTGTCCCGCTTGGGATTCGAACCCAGAATTCTTACTTTTGAATTGAGAAATATGGCTTAAAGAAAGAAAACAGCAAAAGTTCAATATTTCTAACAGGAATATTCTGCTCTAAATTAGTCAATTGCAACTCAATATTTCTGAGGGGAGCCCCTTGTGGCTCCCTAGTAATTAGTTGTTTTAGAGAGCTACCAGGCTCACCCAGAAACTAGCATTTCATTACATTCAACGCTAGTTTTATGGATGTGTGAAGACATCCAGAAAAACTGCATTATTATTTATTATTACAGTTAAAGATATTATATCACTGAAATACATTTAACAAAATATAATTCATAATAATATATCAATAATACTTGAATACATTACAAACTCGAGTCAAGGTAATGCGAGATTCAAAACAGAAGTAAAAAAGTTAAATGATTCTATATAAAGCAGAAATTAGTTAACCCTGTCCTGTACAACATTCAATACCAATTCTCTGCACATGTATAAACAATCACAATTTCTAAATACTGTATTAATAAAATCTAAGATTCACCACTTTTGTTGTACAAAACTCCAAATAATAAAGCAATCAACCATAAAAAATACCAAGCCATCAAGTAAACACAAGCTCAAGAACCTCTTTGGTCAAAGAGTTACTTGACAGAATTGATCTTGTGCATGAAAGCAAGCAGTTGTGCTGGAATTTCACGCAATACCTCCTGTGCTAGAGCTACTTGGGTCAACTGCGATTTGTCCGACAGGAGCTTTCTTAATTCTGGAAAAAATATGTCGCAGTTAATATACATAACACAAATATACTTTCAGCTCATGAAAAACTAATTTCTTAGTATGTAATTCTGCTGTACTCACTCTCTTACGTAGTATTCTGGATGGTGTGTCAGGAGCTGCTGGTAAATACATTAGACTTCATACAGTATATAATACATAACAAATGGGTAAGGAAGTATATATATGTATATTATATGTATGTAGTACCTAATAGGCCAAGTTGCCCAAGAAACGAAATTTTCCCAAAATAATATTTTTTCAATTACTTTTCTTATGGAATGATACAGCTTTCCATTACATATGATTAATTTTTTTTTTTACTTTCATTCAAAATTTACATAGAAATTTGATCAAACCTAACCTATTCTAATGTAACATAACTAAGTCAGTAATTCATTCTACTAATATATTAGATTATTATCGTCAGAAAAGAACCAATCTGAAAATAACAAATCATTCAGCTTGTTAGGCAAATAGGATCTTGCATACTAGACCAAGGAATGCAGTTCTGGCTATTAGGCATGACATACATACACATATATAAGTACAGTATGTATACAGTGTGTGTGCGTACTGCATGTATGTATATTATATATACACACACATATATATATATATTATATATATATATATATATATACAGTGGTACCTCGCATAACGATTGCCCCAAAAGACGAATATTTTGGGTAACGAACGGCCCGATCGGCGTCAAATCGTCCCTTATGACGAACGCTGGTTTGAGTAACGTCAACACCACATGGTGGGGTCGCGCTGCTTCTTGCACATTCTTAGACGCCTCCGACGATGCACATAAATTATGTTGTTCTTGTTTAAAGATGCTAATGATGCTGGGATATAAAAGGGTGACTACTGAGATGTTGCAAAGCATTGACGTTTTTGTAGGAAAAAAGAAATGAAATGTCTGATATACAACAAATGTCAAAAAGGTTCGTTCGGTGTTCGGCAGGTAGGCTGCTCCATTATAACAATCTTTCTTTGTTTCAAATGTGTTCCATTTGTTTTTTATTTGTCATTTGCGTCTCAATAATGGAGAAGCCTACCTTACATACACTGAATAAACCATTATGACATTTTCCTTTCTTCAAATGTGTTCAATATTTATTTTTCATTTGCCTTATAGCAAAAGGTTCGTTCGGTGGTCGGCAGGTAGGCTGCTCCATGTTTCTTACATACAAAAAACGTAAATAATAAAAAAAATGAAGAATTTTGAAAACCAGTACAAATGTCAAAAAGGTTCGTTCGGTGGTCTACAGGTCGGCTGCTCCATGTTTCTTAAAAAAAAAAAAAAAAAAAACGAAAAATAAAAGAACTGTTGAAACAATTTGAAAAATGGACAAATGTCATAAAGGTTCGTTCAGTGTTTGTCGGGTAGGCTGCTCCATTATTGAGACGTAAGTGACAAATACAAAACAAATGGAACACATTTGAAACAAAGAAAGATTGTCATAATGGAGCAGCCTACCCAACAAAAACTGAACGAACCTTTTGCCATAACGAATATGAAAGACAAGGGCTGCTGGCTGGGTTAGTACTGCGTGAGCAACCATTTGTGGCACACGTGCCTCTGGCTCTCAAACACCTGTCCCACACGGTGTTGAAAGACTGTGCTCAGTCGGTGCAATTCAGACCCTTTTGTTTGAAGAACATAAGGGTCATAACATTGGTGAAGCTAGGCGCAATAAGGGCTTAACACAACGGTCGGATGCCAGTGATACAGCACCTATGAGGATGATACAGCAAGCGTATCCAGGTGTAGCTCTGAGCCCCACCCTTGCCATCTTTAATGTATATAGATGATACATAGATGAATCGTTTTCTGCGTTCAGTGATGATGCATCTGATACAAGTAGCATAGATTAACAGTGTTAGCGGCTTCCATGGTGGTGGTGTTCATTGATATTTTCAAGAATACCTGAATCTTTTCCTGACTGATGGACACTCTTTGAGGCTAGCTGAATCTCTTCCTGACTGATGGACACTCTTTGAGGCTAGCTGAATCTCTTCCTGTGTGGGACCTTACAAAGCGATCTTTTCAAGACTACCTTACAAATTGAGCTTTTCCTATAATCGTTTCAATACTACTTTATGCTTTACAAGCTTGGCTACATACCACCTACAAGTACTAAAGCCAAGGGTGCACGCAAGTGCGTTATTTGCAAGCACACATAACGATGAAACAGGAAGCAAAAATCTATCTGTAGCTGGTGCAAGGAGAGCAAAGTCGCGCTGTGTACCATGGACTACTTCGTTGACTATTATGCACCTCCAAAGTACTGAGTGTGTAATACAATGTGTTACTGTGTAAATAGTATGTGAAACTGTACATATTGTAATATTAGTGAATTTTTACCACGTAATATTGTGACAATAAACATTTATTGTGGACACATTACTGACACATGTATCACAGTTTCATGGAAAATTATGAACATTCTACTGTATACATATTGTAAAGGTCACAAATATGCATCATATACGATAAATGAAACAAATAAAACCGCATTGGAAATGCATAGAAAAAATATTTGAAAATATATTTGTGGCAACACGCGGTGCTTGAATGGCCTGCGCGACCGTGTCTGGGAGCTTCACACACGGGCGACCAGGCCCTGATGACGTCACAGCGCACCTTGTCCACGCCCTCACAGCCAAAGTAAGTGGATTTTGGTAATTATTTTTACATAGACATGTTCAGGGACGGTAATTTATCATTTTACAAAGAAAAATTTTATTTTGGGGAACATTTGATGTCATGCACTCTGGGGAAATTTCACAATAAACACAGTGCATCACACTGGTTACATGGGGGGACACTCGTTTTGTATGACGTCCGTTTCACATGACGAACATGGAACGGATTAAATTCGTTATGCGAGGTACCACTGTATATATATATATATATATATATATATACTGTATATATATATATATATATATATATATATATATATATATATATATATATATATATATATATATATATATATATATATATATACACATACATACATACATACATACATACACACACACACACACATAACATATAAATTGTCAACCACGCTATCATGGAAATAAACCATTTCATTCACTTAAGGGGCAAAGAGACTAGAGCTGCCGACCCCACGGTGTGAAGCAGAAGCTCTTCCACCGAGTTACCAGAAAGAACCAATAGGAAAGAGTTCAGAGGCAGCAATCATCTGAATTCTTTCTTACTGGGGCGCCTCTGGTAGCTCAGTGGAAGAGTTTCCACCACACACTATGGGGTCGGCTGTTCTAGTCTCCTAGCATTCAAGTGAATAAAATGTGTATTATTGTGTGGTTGACAATTTATACGACATTGGCATGGATCACTAATTCCTACGTGCTTAAGAAGGAGGCGGGAAAAGTATAAAATTTCAGGTGGGTCAGTGGATTGCTGCCTCTGAAATCTTTCCTGAAATTAAATTTTTCGGAAATGAAATCATAAATCTTTAAACTGCCTGGGTCAGTCGGCTGCTCCATCTTCAGTTCTTGCTGATGGTAGCTAGTGCATAGATGTCATTTGTCACTTTGGCTCCTGTTTCCTGCCTTCAGCCAAGTGGTGGTACAGTATTGTGCCTTTTTGGCTTACGCATGTTTGTGCTGCAAGAGCCAGATTAGAATGCTTGGAGCTGGATGTACACAGGGTTTTCTTCTGTGTGTGTTCCCTAGTGCTGCCCTTGGTTACTAACCTTAAGCTTGGGTTACTAATCTTAAACTTTTCTAGGAGCTGAATTACTTTGATATTCTTACAAATGTTTCCGACTTTTTCATTGAAATCTAAAGCTACTGATACAAGCGGATCTCCTAGTCAGTTTCTCATGGGCACCTGTGCCAGATAGTAATACCTCTGTATTTTGACAGTAATCTGTTGTATTGAGAATTACAGTACAGTACTGTACTATTTTACCCCCTTATCAGAATTGGTAATTATAATTTTATCATTCTTTTTGAGATTCATAAGTGCTAAATTGTATCATTTAGGGACACTCATTATAGTAAAGCGTTAATTTATTGTAAGTAACATCATACCTTTAAGACAAAGGCAATCCTTATCATAACTAATGTTACTCATGAATCGATAAAAAACTACTATGTAATTCAACATATTCTTCCTCTTATTCTTCATTGCAAAATTTAAGTTCAATCCTAGTACAGTACAGTACCGTAGTTCAATTTCATGTTTAAGCAACAGTTTCAGACAGATTTAAAACATTATCTTTGTGAGAATTTTGATCAAATACTATTGTTAAGGCATCTATCCGGTTTGTTACCAAATTTGTCTTTATGTTCCCAACCAATGTGGTTAGCACCATTTGGCACAAAAAAGCATATATTATTCAAAAGTTACACCATCAGGACAATCCGTTTTTAAATTGCCAGTTGCCTGGGATATATACAGTATGGAAAGAGCATTAACACTTGCTTTAATTAGAAATTCATTAAGAAACATGTAAAAATCTTTGTGGAACCCAAAATAACTCATGGTCATGCTGTCAAATGTAAACATGCAGCCAAAGGATTAAACCAAGCAGTGCTGTTACTGTAAATAAAGACAGAAATGATTTTGCAAGAAAATCTGTAAACCAATGTAATGCATAGTGTCACTGATATTTCAGCAAAATTAAGGGTACTGCATTATAATTAGACCTTCAACCATTATAAAATTTATACCACTTAACAATATATTACAAAGCTCTGAATTCTATTTCACCAGATAATAAACATATGAATAAGCATCACAAATTATTCTGCCAAATGCTACAGGTAAACAGAAATTAGTATTGTCATGCATAGAAGTATCAGTTGTGACCAAAAGTTAAAACTGGCACACAAATTTTATCAGACATTCTAATTAAAGACATCACCTACTGTTTCTCTAGCCACTCTTAGCATGCATTAAGGGACAAATATAATTCCAATGAGAAAATAACATTCACAGCTCAGCATTTAATGCTGTCAATGAAACACTTGCTCCAAACTAGACAAGGCCCAATATATTAACTGGGCCTTGAAAGGTGGAAGGGCGAGGAGGGTACCCATGTATTGTCATCCAAGAAACCAGCTGTTGTGGAATTTCTGCCAGGACATCTTTGGCTAGTCTAGCCTGGCTGTACTGATGGTTGGATCCATTCTTACCAAAGTGCCGCCTCAGCTCTTCAATGACATAGAAAGAAAAAGGAAGAACAAGCAGCTGCTGAGTTTTGTAGGATTAATAATAAGTAATGGAGAAAATAAAATAAATAAAAAATGTAAGAAAAAGTTTAAAATCTGCTACAAAATGCCAAAATAGAAAAAGTTTTTTTTTCCAACTGATAGTCCTAAACTATTCAGTAAATTTAATGGGATAAAATAATCAAGCACCGAATGTAATGTAATGGCCTTTTCTGGAGGGGCCCTTGGTAGCTCCCAAAGCTAATCTAAAGGGCCAGCAAATAATTAAAGGATATGCACCAGGTCTTTGAAACTCCCACATGCCTACTAGAAGCCATGACCAGAATCTGGCTTTCTCTATAGGGTGAAGGGGGCTCGGAAATCAGATCAACTCTGCAAGAAAGCATAAAAGCAACTAAACAAGCAACTGATTGAAGGAAATTGGGTAACTGAAGGTAATAAGGTAATTGATCATTTCCACAATGTAAACATCATCAACAATAATGTGCCTGATTATATTATAATATATTATAATATATTATAATATATATATATATATATATATATATATATATATTATAATATATTATAATATATTATAATATATATATATATATATATATATATATATATATATATATATATATATATATATATATATATATATATGTCGTACCTAGTAGCCAGAATTCACTTTTCCGCCTACAATGCAAGGCCCGATTTGCCTAATAAGCCAAGTTTTCATGAATTAATATATTTTCTCTAATTTTTTTCTTATGAAATGATAAAGCAACCCATTTCATTATGTAAGAGGTCAATTTTTTTTTATTCGAGTTAAAATTAACGTAGATATATGACTGAACCTAACCAACCCTACCTAACCTAACCTAACCTATCTCTATAGGTTAGGTTAGGTTAGGTAGCCGAAAAAGTTAGGTTAGGTTAGGTTAGGTAGGTTAGGTAGTCGAAAAGCAATTAATTCATGAAAACTTGGCTTATTAGGCAAATCGGGCCTTGCATAGTAGGCTCAGAAGTGAGTTCTGGCTACTAGGTACGACATATATATATATATATATATATATATATATATATACACACACACACACACACATATATATACATACACATACATACATATATACACACCTAACTACTGTAATAAATAATTCATGTTGTTTATCTAATAATATTAATTCAAATAAATCAATTTGAAAATAATGAAAATCAACCGGCATGTTAGGCAAATCGGGCCTTGCATACTTGGCCAAGTATAGTGCATTCTGGCTATTAGGTACAACATATATATATATATATATACTGTGTGTGTGTATGTGTAATTGGAGGCTCCCTGCATTAATGCCAACAGGGAGTGTATTATTTGGCAATCATAGTAACCATTATTTTCTGACCATTACTATGTACAACATGCTCCAACAAAACATTTACTGAATCATTAATAGAGGCCATCTGCTAATCATTACAATGATTTTTGCTGCTAAAAATCCCTCGGCAATTGGCAGGAATTAAGCACGCATGCTGCGATTATTGAAAAGCTGTGGTGGAAGAATTGGGAGTGGGAAGAACCCATTCCTCTCCCCACCCCTCCAAAAAATGACCAGTTTCATATCAGCCATTCCGGTTATATCAGATATGCAGATATTGTATATTAAAACAGAGATTGCCAGAGTTAATTTTACCAGAACTTTAATTGAATCAAACTTACCAACAAATTGCACAATATCACGCTCAGCATATTTTCCTTCAGCACTGAGACGGTTTTCATCGCCATCTAACTGCTCCATGGCAGAGAAATCTTCTTGGCCAACTCCAACGATGATCACTGACATTGGCAAACTAGATGCATGAACCAAAGCCTTCCGGGTATCAGGCAAATCTAGAATTAAAAATAAAAAATGCAAATCTTGATAGCTGGAGGCCAATACACACATCTGATATTTAAATTCTTTATTAACAAAGAGTGTTCTTTATTAATTACTGTATTGGGAAAAGCATTTAATGAACAATAATTTTCGCAAATCCCACGGAATACACAGTACTTCATGTCTGAATCTAAAAATGGATATAAAGAAGACATATAACATGTGAATACTCAGTCTGTGTGTGGAGTTACTTAATTACCAAGGAACTTGGAGAAGCAGCTTGCAGTTCCTGTGACAAAGAGGTAGCATACTTTACCAGTGTCTCACAAGTAATTTCGTCTGGGTCAAGCCCAGGTCAGGAAGGATTGACAGGACATAGTTCCTCAACTGTTCACCTAGCAGTAATTGGAAGACCTGGTTAACCGATTGTTGGGTTGTGCTCGAGGAAAATGTAGGAGGGTAAGGCCAAAGCCAAAGATGAGGTGTAGGAAGAAAAAGCTCTAAGACTGCTAACAGAAGCCAAAAGTTGTCTACTCCTATATCCACTTTGATGTAAAAAATCATCACTTCAGGGAATCCCAAGGGGCTCCCCTAGAAAAAACATTATGAATGACTCCCTGTGCAGTGGAAAATGACAACACATTTGCATAAAGAAAATGATGAATTTTTACCAGAGATGATTCCATCAGTGATGATCAGGAGGACAAAGTAGTTGTTGCCATCTTGGTGAGCATGTGCAAACTTAGCCACATGGTTGATCACTGGGGCAAAGTTAGTTGGACCAAAAAGACCCACTGCAAAAATATACAAAGTACATCTTGTAAAAGCAAATATTAATACAATAAACTGAGACTTAGAATTATCCAAATGATATATTTAATTATCTTTTTTTTTTTTAAATTTAAATACATAAATCATAGCATTTACTACTGTATATGTAACCAAATTATTTGTTGAATAAACTTTTAAATTTTTTTATAACTAAAGAGATTTTCTAATATCCACATTATAATAAAAGAAGAAAAAACTAATACCAGTTTGAATGGAATGGTGGTAAGCATTGAGAATGCCCTCTACACCCTGGCAGTATGGGTTGTCTGGACTACCATTAAGGAAGAACTCGTGGCTCACTTTCCAATCTGGTGGCACTCGACCACCAAAGCCAAGTGCTGGGAACAACTTATCTGCAACATATAAATAACTAATATTTTTCATTCTATTTGCTTTACTTTAATTGTAATTTCAAATGCATTAAAATACTTAGGAATTTTAATTTTTAAACAGGTCCTCCTGGCCCACAAGTTACTTTGTTGAAATACTATTTTATTAACACAAACACACAAAAATATAAATAATAATAAAACAAAATTAATAAAAATTAGTTTTAGTTTAAATTTTATTTTAAATTCATATATTGTTGTTTAATATTTCAAATTATCCATTATTAATTTCTGTATAGAGTACTGTACTACAATAACAGAGAAACTATAGTTTATGACTCCTGATGATTCTTTGTTTGATTCAATAATCAAATTTATATAATGTATAGTACATGTGATAATGTAAACCTGTAGATTAGGTAGTATTGATAAAGCCCCTAAATATGCTAAATGTTTTGGGAACATAGCTAAGAAAAAAAGAGAAGATAATAATGAATTACAGTAGTGGTAATGTAATTTTAATTTTTGGTTTAATTTTACATAGTATATTAACAAGATATTATAGTGTACAAAACTATTCTTAATACTACTATGGTGGATAAACAAAAAATTTATTTTGCAGAGTGGGAGACGGTTGGAAAAGGTTAAATGAGGTGGTGGTGGAGACCAAAACCGTCAGTGGTTTCAAAGCGTTATACGACAAAGAGTACTGGAAGATAAGATATCATGAACGTAGCTCTCATCTTGTAACTGCACTTGGGCAATTATTACTTAAAACAGAGTCTGGGAATGTATTCAGGTGCAGAATCAGAAGTTGATTTAACTTTTTCTAAAATTAACAAATAGAAACTTATCTTTTTCTTACCGGTGTCATAATCCTGGATAATCTGTCCCACTGCTTTAATTGCCAATGAATACTGATTGTCCACTCCAGGCTGACGATAATGGAGTGAATTGGGGGTACGGGGATCACCATTTGAGGCTGTAAAGTCCACCGCAACTGTAAAATTAATCTGTGTCCCACCACGAATATAATCAAGGAAAGTTGGCTGAACGTGACAGGAGATAGATTGTAGGGTAATCTTTCCCGAGTCTTTATAGCTTGCTTTCTTGGCTTTCTTCTTAGGATTGATAAGATGATAAACATTAGTTGTCCCTGGACCTTCTAGGAGTCTGAAATTAAACATTATTATTAATTTACTTGTGAAAAGTAGTTTAAAAAACAATAATACAGGAGACACCAAAAAATGTAATGTATTTGGAGCTTGTGAACTACTGTGTACATTGTCAAGAAAGCAGATGAAGATCATAATTTATTTTAACTTTAAAAGGATGGTACAGGCATCCCTTTATGTGTTAGGTATAGTAATTACCTAAGTGTAGTTATAGAATGGAAGTTATGCTCGTGGTGTCCCATCTTCCCAGCACATTGTCATATAACACTTTGAAACTACTGATGGTTTTGGCCTCCACCACCTTCTTACCTTTCTTGTTCCAACCATCTACCACTGTTTGCAAAAGTGAATTTTCTTAGGTTCATTTTCTTATATTTCTCTGGCAGTTTTGTTTAGTTAGCTTATATCTAAGACCTCTTGTTCTTGAAGTTCCAGGTCTTAGGAATTCTCCCTTACGTGGATACTTCATTGTGAAGCATAATCATAAACTTGAGAGTTTAGAGGTTTGCAACTGGATTTATACCAGAACTGAAAGACCTCAGCTATGAAGGCAGCAAAGAGAACTTTGCTTCACAACCTAAGAGGAGAGAAGAAACAGAAGAGATACAAAAATTTGTACTCGAACTACATACAAGATTGAGGGGAATAGATAAGGTGGATAAGGGAAGCCTATTTAAATGGATCACTGGAAAAGATCATCAGGGCAAATGGGGAAACTTTTGATAAGCTGCCAGCTTCATGTCCTCATTGAGGCCACTAGTGTGGCCCTTGGGTAAATTCAGGTTATTAAAAAAAGGTAGGACAAGGGGACACCAATGGAAGTTAGATTTGCAATCGAGTCGAAGAGATGTAAGGAGGTTCTCGTTCCCTATATGGGTGGTAGGCAAGTGGAATGCATTGAAGAAGAGGTTGTTGAAACCAATTCCATTCACAGTTTTATAAAGAAATATGATGAAAATGTTAATGTTGAGAGAGGTAATTAGAATGCTAAGTATAAATGGCCAACAGGCAGACCATAAAGATCTAGATCTCACTTCCCTGAAGTTACTGATAGATAAACACATGTGTGATCATCCATAATATTGTTTACTAAATACTTTTTACTACAGTTGCCCACCTAATACCAGTATGACCTTTCCCTTTCTCTGTTTTGCACAGAACAATGACTATAGGAAAAGTGTGCATCACTAACAGGTATTAATACACAGAAATCACATTAACGTAATATATATACTGTAGGTGAGAAAATCCACTAGAGCTGTGAGGTGGCATAAACTTACGAGTATGCAACTGGCAATGCCTCGGTTGTAGGTTCATGCCATCTCATAGCTCTAGTGGATTTTCTCACAGGTATTAATGGTAGAGAAATGTCTAATGTTTTAATAGTTAAGGTTCATACCTTTGAAGATTGGTGTAGCATTCCCCAATCAGATCATGAGTTCCATCAGAATCCCAGTCATAACATTCAATCTTGATACTACGATTATGATCTCCTGAACAGAGAATCCTAGCAGGAATGACTATGGGCTTCCATGCTGGGTTTACAGTTTTCTTTATGACCTCTGTCTTGTGTACAGGAAGATAAGCACTATTATCATTGCAGCGATAAAAGATTAAGAAAGGATCACTTTTTCCCAAAAAGTCCTTTTTGTCTAGATCTGAGCCATACAAATTCATAGTGACAATTTCCTTCGATGTGGACATTTCATTTCCCTGCACCAGAAGGAGTCCACCACCAGAGATAGCCTTGCTCATCTGTTGATATAAGTATGACATCAAAACTCACGAATGACCCTACTTTGTATACAGTACATACTTATCTATAATTTAGAAATTAGAGAAGATAGCAAACCCCATAATGTGGGTTAACTTATAGGCAAACATGCACTAAGCATGGGGTAAAAAGGGATGCTTTGGGTACTGATAATCTGATATCTGGCAGGCAAAAACTTTGGTATTAAGGCATCTGTACGACTATCATCCAAGTATGAATAGTATTAACATCCTATACAAGTCTGTTAATAAAACTGTTAGATAAATTTTGATTACTAGGCTTAATAAAAAAAATAGGCTTTAAATATTTATGAGAAGTTCTTTAATGAGAAGGTAAGTGTTTTTTTCTTAACTCTCATCCTGTGTCATTAAATTACAAAATACCAAAATACATTCTGAATTTCTTGGGAAATGATAAAAATGAAAAATCTAAAGTAATAAAAAACTAGCGTTGAATGTAATGAAACACCATTTTCTGGGCGAGACCCGGAGGCTCCCCGGAGCTATACCGAGCTGATGTGTATATATTAGACCATGGCAACAGTCAATCGAGGGAGTTCTAAGCCTACCGGGGGACCAGAGCCAGAACCTGGCCCCCTCAAGAGAGGCACGAGGAGCAATGGTCTTATGACACTCCCGTGTAATTGGAAGCAGTCTTTGTCTGCCATACCAGGTCAGGCACCCAGAAAGGTAGGAATTTCAAAACAAACTCCTGCTGGTCAAAAACTGCAAACCAAAAGCCGAAGTAGCAAGCAAAACTCCCCAATCAAAAACAAGGAAACAAATTACGTCACCACAACTGCCGCGCATCCGTCTGCTCAAACCCCCCCCCCCTCCCTGGGAGGGGGTCCCAAACCTCTACGCCAGCAACTCTCCCCAGTTCAGAGGCCGAGTATCAAAAACACGAAAAACCGCCAATCGGAGGGAGGGAGGGAGGGAGGGATGCCGGGGAGCCTCCGGGTCTCACCCAGAACATGGCGTTTCATTACATTCAATGCTGGTGTCTCGTGAATCCCCTGCATAGCAGTGGAACTGCCTTTTCCCTTCACCTTCAATGCCTCTGCACTGGAAGTATACATCTACACCAGCCCAGATGAGTCATTAGTCCTGCCACCTCTCCATACCCCCCAGGGCCTGGCACGGCCTGGTACAACTCAGAGGCAAGCTGGGTGCCTCTGCTAACCGGTAGTTTGCCCCCACAAACAAGCAGTTAGCCGCCTTCAACTGACAGTGGTGCAGCTCAACACAAAGGCACCGCCAGCCACAACGAGCAGTTTGCTAGTTGACCAGATGTCCACCTCGCGTTGACACTGGATGAGTCATCACCGCAGGATTACGTAAAGGGCGCTGCCTCCCTGGAGAGCCAGTCTCTCCCTTAGTGCTCTAGAATCACCTTCGTGTCTCTCACCCGTCGTCCGCCTTCAGCTAACGTCGTGTGATTGATGCCATGGTGGTATTATAGCTGTCTTCAGTACACCAGTATATCTTTATGCTTTTCTTCATTGCGTATACTGTACAGTAGTTTATTTTTACATTTAAGATCCTACTAACTTGTTCACTTTTGTATTACATGATAGCCAAGTATTTTCAGGGGCATTTATGTTCATTAATATTTCAGTAAATTGTTTCATTATTTATTTGACGATTTTTATTTGTTTCCACCTGCAACTTACACACTGCAGGGCCAATAGCAGCATTTTTTTTCATTATGTGCGGGAGAGCCATACCATCTTGGTTCAGTATAGCTGCGATACCACAACCCGTCACACTGGTTTTCTATGGAGAGCCCCTTCAACTCCCAGGAGCTACCTAACCAAAGATAAGAAGAAAAAGGGTCTCACCTGGGAGGTGGTCGTCACTCGCTCCTCAACTCAAAGTCGAAACAACTGGCAGCAATCTGCGACCCAAGGCAATACACGCCTGAGAAGGACTAGGAATATTAACAAGGTAACATGCAGCCAGGACCCTATTCGACCTCCAAAAGTCACATGCCTGAAGAAAGGCCAGGACATATTACCAAAACAGCAGCCGAACTCCGAACTTAACAACAGCATGGGCACGGGGATAGACCGCAGGCTGGCTGGACCGAATAATCCTATGGACAACCTGCGAGACAAGCACCCTCGAATTAGGGTTAAGGACCTGCCCGAAACGCTACGCGTACTAGTGGCTTTACAAGAATGTAAACTCTTGTAAGAAGGGAAACTGGGTCAACCCAAAGTGTATCCTCTGCCACAGAGGTCGTGGTGCGCAAATAACGGTGAAGAGCCACAAACCATGATGCACACCTGGCCGAACCAATCAAGCATCAACAACCCAAGGACCCCCTTTGGAAAGCAGCAGACTCATTCTTCCTCAGAAAAGAAGTAATTATACTTAGGTAATTACTAGAGACCACTGAGGAGTGCTCTGCCACCAAATGTCAGGATCCTACATGTCAGCAATGTAGCTAAGCTTTCCTTGCCTTATATTTCATTAAAGTTCTAGACTGCACAGAAAATGATAGAACAAAATGAGGGGGAAATTTTGAGCAATACAATAGTCTATTCAGAAAAGAGCTTTTCATCTACACTCAAAGAGCTTCTTTATGATCTGAGCAACTTGTTTGTTCTCTTAAGCAAATGTGGCAGCCACTTAAATTATCCCTAAGCTATTCCACATTAAAAATAAATTATATTTCAATCACTTAAAAGGTCCTAATAATCCCCATAATTACAAAGTGATTCCTGCACTCATACTCACTAACCATTAACAACATCTGTAACAAATCCCCAAGTGATTTCAACGAATCATTTACGACTGGCTAAAGTAACCAGTAAACTTCCCATCAGACCATATTATGATTAGCCTGTCAAATAAGGAAGCTAACTGGGTTCAACACAAGGTCAGATGACCGCAGATATAATATGATCGAAGATACAGCACTATCAGCCCAGTTCCACCTCCCACACCAGATGCTACAAGCCTTACTATGAAGTAAAGACCCCCTCTGAGTGTCTGAGAACCACTGGTGGAAGTTAAGAAGCTGAGCAAACAGAAGCTGAACTGACCTGGCCCCTCAATGTATTAGAAGCTGAACTGATCTGAAAAGTCAACTGAAGAAGGGAAGAGAGCAAACTTGGCACAAGTGTTCATAACAACTGCTTCACTTCCTCTTCACAGAACAGCAGAGGATCAACTGCTTTGCTGCCTTAGTCCAGAAGGGGTTGCCAAAGATAGAATCTGAGGGTGAAAAGACTTCTGTACCCAACAGGTGAAATGATGGAGACAGCATGTGACTGTCGAGAGCTGAAAGTTCCACGTCACATTGGAAAACTGCACACAGCAGTGTCAAACACAGAAGCAGGCATACCCATGAATAGGTTTTGAGGATGCCTTGTCAGAGACTGGACCGAGGGGATGTTGATCCTCAAAATCATCAACATGTAGGTAGGGCAAACTGGTGCCTAATCGTCAATGCATAAGCTGGAAGGCCAAGTGAAAAAACCAGCATTGAATGTAATGAAACGCCATTTTCTGGGTGAGTCCCGGAGGCTCCCCGGAGCTATCCCAGGCTGATATGCTAATGTCAGACTTTGGCATCAGTCATGTGTATGGAGTTCTTAGGCCTACCGGGGACCACGGCCAGAACCGGGCCCCCTCACAGAGGCAAGGGGAGCAATGGCCTATAGAAGCCCCCGTGTGGTTGGAAGCATTCTATGTCTGCCATCGACCGGAACAGGCACCCAGAAAGGTAAGCGCCTCAAAACAAACCCCTATTCTGGTTAAAATTTCTACCAAAAGCCGAACTAGTGGATAGAACTCCCTAACCGAAAACAAGCAAACTAGTGTGACGTCACACACCACCGCACTGCTGTCTGTGCAGCCCCCCCCCCCACCCCAGGGAGGGGGAAGGGGGAGCCCCAGAACCCCCACGCCGGCTACCCACACCTCAGTTCTTGAGGCTGATGCTATAGGCGATGGTCGTGTGCTCTGGCTCCGGTGTCGCTACTGCACTGTGCTTTGCGTGTGGTGTTGGTTTTGTGGGTGCGAGAGCCGTCCTGGTCTTTGGACAGAGTGCTCGCTTTCCTTTCGTCTCCTCGTTTCGTTGTGGCCCCTTCGGTCCAGGATTGTTTTTCCAAGGCACTTTCTTGTTGGCTTTGGCCTCTGTATAGTGAGGCTTGTCTTAACTGTCCTAGAAACACATCTCTCTAAATATCTTTCTATATGCCTTCCCACAATGTGAAAATCTGAGCCAAAAAATCTAATTTATATAGTCATTTAAATCATTAATGGTTATTTTTGGACAAAGCATGAAAAAAATACATTGTAAATATATCACTCACTATTAATAATACTGTACTGTACATTGCTTAGTGATACAACTGCACTTGCAAAACAAGGTACTTGTAAAAATACTGTTATTTATCATACCTGTGATCCTTGGGAACCCATGATCTCTCCCAGAGAGCATTCAACAGAGCCCAGACTGTCTTGATCATCTGGATTCGTGCTCTTGCTGTCCCAGTCATATACAGAAAATTTAAGGATCTGAAAATACGTACATAAGAAGATACACTGAAACACTTACAATGCCAGCAATGTAGCTCACGTGCTGCTATCTACACAAATACATTCTGCAAACATAATTTTAGCATATAATAATCAGTCTTTATAATAAAGAAGTGTTTTCTCTTGTTATTCATGACAATCAGTTAGCTATGATATTGGTACACTAATCTTTTATTAGCAAAGCATTTGTTGAAAAATCTTCAACAATGTTAATTCAATTGTGAAACAAGCTAAATATATGTCATTTGGCAAAACTGAATGAAATGAAACTACTGTAATAACATTGGAAATATTTGGAACTGGTGGATTATTATGTGCCATAACTCAAGAGAAATCTTGCCAGATGTCTGACATCCACCAAAAAGGATACTATAATGGATACCATAATGGAATAAAAGGAAACCATAGTGAACACAAATAAAGAAAAAATAATACTTAAAAGAGGAAATAGCCCCAATTATATACAGTATATAAGTATATACAGTATATAATAACTGTCCAAGTTTATTATACAACACAATTGCTGTATATATTTTGGAAAACAGCATAACAGATATTTTCCAGTAAAAACAATGTGGGAGGGTTGCCACTTACATTGAGTGGGCCACACACTAGAAGGTGAAGGGACGACGACATTTCGGTCCGTCCTGGACCATTCTCAAGTTGATTGTCTATACTTTAGCCACGTTATTGTGACTCATCGCTTGCCACTTACTTTTGCATTTCTTAAGGTTATGAGTACTATTCAACTTTTTTTGAGTGTCTAAAAAGCCCATGAATAATACAAATTGGGATCTTAGCAATAATAGGGAAACATCTTTATTAGTATTTTTTTTTTTTTTTTTTTGCTTTGATGTGGCTTATTTTGTTACACTCATGTTTTCTGGCATTTTTCTTCTTTACTTTGGGTTGTTCTCAGATCCCCAAACTCCTTGACCTCAGAGTCAATTTCTGGTTCTGACTCTCAGAAGGAAAAGGTGGGTCTCAGAGGTCTAGAGCATCTCCTTAAAATTTGGCTGAACCAGCACTTAGCTCTGGGAGCTACTAAGGGGAACATCCCAGAAATTTATCTTAAATGTGTATAGTTTCTCTTATGCATGGTTGTCAAGAAATAGACAAAGAACCATGTGAGGTGTCAGGAGAACAGAAATGGAAAGCAAATGCCATGGAGAGAGATGGCATGATAAACTCAGTAAAATCCAAAATTGAGGAGATTTTACTAAGATTGTTTTGGCATGCTGAGTAATGGTGGTAGACTAGTTAAGAGGGTATTAAAGTGAATTTAAGAGTAGGAAGTGAAAAGGAATACCAGGAAGTAGGTGGGCAGACACAATGAGTGTGAAGAAGCAAGGAGTAAGTTTTGGACAACAAATGGTGTATGGTAAAGGAACAAGACTGGGTGGAAGTAATTTGTAAGAAGTGAATAAATATACTGTACAGTATTTGTATATAATGCATAGAAGCATTGTACCCCTATTCTTACTCTTAAGCGGTAGGGTGCTACAATGGCTGACTGTTGCAGTATGGTAGTCATTGTTTATCCATGATGCCATATTGTGCATGATATAATGTATAAATGAGGATTTTTTAATGTTTTGATTATTTAATACTGTATCTAGAAACTTCTCGTACTATTCAGTATTACTTGTACTATTTTTCTCCGGGCTGATGCTTTCCCACTCATCAAAAGTGAAAGAGAAACTGAAACTGAAAAATAATAATGTATTTGTGTGAACAATATCTAAATTAGCTTACAAATTTTTGGAAGGAAACTTTAGGAGTTACCTGTCGTTCCTCAAATCGATAATCCACTTCAATTGCACGAACCCATTGTGGGTTCAGGGAATCCTTAATCATCTCTGTGCGCCCAACCTCATAAAAACTATCTTGTCCAGTTTCCTTCATATAGAGAATACATAAGGGATCACTCTTGCTCAGGACATCACGATTTTTTAAATTCCTGGGAAAATATTTATAGTTGAAGTATTTATCTTACATGAGAAAATACTGAAATGTTATACAAGAGGTGTTTTACTTAGACAATATAATTTGTATACAGTACAGTATTTCTAAAAACAAAGAATTTCAGAAATTAATTTCAAAACACTGAAAGTAACTAATCCATTGTCAATTTAAGTCTAATTCTTATTAATACAAAAGTAAAACATATTACAGAATATAATATTCATTGAAACTGATGTACTGTACATACAAGCTCTAAGGATTCACAAATACAGTACATAAAACACAAGCTATAACAAAACAGTTTAGAAAACTGTAGGCCTGATTAACCTAATCAATGTTTAATCAGTGACTCCAATTAGACTCCTGGTATTCCTTTTTACAGTTTTAGAACTTATCTAAACTAGGCCTTCACTCTCTAAAGGATCTACCCAAAACACTATGCATGTTAGTGGCTTTGCTAGAATGTAAAAATGCCAATACAGTACTGTATTATGTAATCTCACAAACTGTACTTTCTTGAACAATTTAACCATGTTAGCTTACTTCTTGCTTACTACTTGTTTAATATTAAGCATTTACCCCATTAAAAAAAAAAATTGTTACGCCCAAAACATTTACATATTAGAGGCTTTATTTAATATGCAATTTCTCTACCTAATCACTGTAACATGTTCTTTTGTATATTTTATTCATAAAATTATTATCAACCTACTTGGCCTCAATAGTCAGCTCCACCTTTGACATAGGCACCATCTGAGGTGGGCCAGGTGGCAGTCCCACAGGTGATGCACTTCCTGCCTGCATTCTTCTCCTGCAAAATAAACAAAATATCTGTGTTGCAAATCATAATCCATTTTTAATTTACATCTTTCTCACTATGTGCAACCTGTAGTCTTTTTGGTTTAGTGCAGTACAGTACAAGGTTGCTGCACTTCAACCACTAAAGAAAGTTATGTTCAAATTGGATATAAAAGTATAATTAATATCTTCATGGACAAGCCAATGATATGTATTGAAGGAGGAGATATTTACCTATAAAGTAATACCAAAATGTATGTAGATGCAAAACTTACCAAGATACCAAACAAAATGTGTACTGTACGTGACCAATGTTACAGAGCATGACAAAACCTTGGCCACCCAAATGCTAATGTTTGGCTAGCTACATAGTAAATCTGTAAAGAAGTTTCCCAAGTGTGAACATTTATTGTATTATCTATATTATACCCAATTATTCAATGCTATTGCACAACATACCTATAACAAACTGGAAACCCACAGGCCCAAAATCTGCACAGCCAACCACCACCAGAGCTACCATCCAGAGATAACACCATCATTGGTGTCCAAGAAAAGTTTAAGTACTTCATTTATAATGATGTGCTGCCCGAAATCTCGAAGTATCTAAAATTTGCTTACTGTAAGTAATTCATGCAAATGAGTGTAAAGCTGCCACCCAGTTGGGTGGGTGTAGAGCACATGACTGTTAAGCTGCCGCCCAGTTGGGTGGGTGTGGAGCACATGACTGTAAAGCTGCCACCCAGTTGGGTGGGCGTGGAGCACATGACTGTTAAGCTGCCGCCCAGTTGGGTGGGTGTGGAGCACATGACTGTAAAGCTGCTGCCCAGTTGGGTGGGTGTAGAGCACATGACTGTTAAGCTGCCGCCCAGTTGGGTGGGTGTAGAGCAAGACTAGTAATTGGACGACTCACCATAGATGTAAAGTGCCTAGTATAGTGACTTGTGAGCCTCTTGTTGAATCACTTGTGATACAAAGATTATTGATGTGTGTATTTGTGTGGGTGATTGAATATGTATGTGAATGTATATGTATGTATATGTATATATGCAATTGACGATCACGAAACAATAATCATTTGTATGCGGAAAATTCCATATTTCATTTTTCTGGATTTACCGCATATGTATATATATGTACATGTATGTATGATTATGTGTACATGTATATATAACATTAATAAGAAGAAATGAAGATGAAGAAATGATAAAAAGAATGGCAATAGTGGATAGTAGTAACACACTTAAGAATTATTCAATAATAAATACAAATTCGTCCTTCACTTATGGTAAAGGAAAGTCTACTTGGAAGGATTCAATTTACATGAGATTACGATTAGGATATAAATATATCTGGCAATACGGTGTTGATGTCAGTGAAAAAGATAAGGAGTGTAAATTATGTAGTATGCCGTACGCCCACACCTTAGAACATTATGTATTAGAGTGTCACCTTATTGAAAAATATAGAAATAAGGAAATAAATAGTGTACCACATCAAATTGTTTGGATGTGTGATAATGGTATAATAGACAGTATACTTAGGAGCTACAAGAATTTTGCCCCAAGAATGTAACAATTATATGCTGTACTTGCTGTATGCAATGTTAAATGGGATTCTTGTACTGTTATATGTCTATTTGTACTCACTGAATTTGTGCGCCCCTTGAGGGACTTGAAGTAGAGGGGGGTAGAAATAGCCTAAGCTACTCTATCCCTTTGAGATGTATTTATTGCTTATCTCAATAAACATACTTGAACTTGAACCAGAGCCACCAGCTAACAAAAAGCATTGGCCATACACCATGTGCATTGGCTTGAATCGTGAGAATTGCGAGCATTAAGATCCAATTTATTGTGCAAGTATATACAGTATTAATAGTGTTTTCAATTGATCTGGATACACTATTTTGGTGGATGACTACCAATGCTTAGGATGGAAGGGAAGGGAAGTATCAGGAGAAACCATCAAGCCATTACAACTATATAGCACTATATGCACTTGGAAGGGATCAGGACAAGGATTTGGAATGAGACGGGGGGGGTGGGGGGGGGGAAGAGCTTAGGATGGAATGACATCAGCCATTGATAAAATAGTTTTTTGTCCATAATGCACCTTTTAGGTGTGTATTCTTGCATCATTCTACAGCTACCAGAAAACTAAAGAAAACAAACTAAAATATAACACCTGATACTAGATAAAAAATATTTTTACTGTACTGTACTTTCAATATTCAGAAGTACAGTCATTGAAAGCAAAACATTTTAAATTAATGTACTGTCTAAGCTCACTTATCTGAACGATATGGGAAGGCTTCCCTGCCGGACAAGCCAGACATTCAGATGAGTATTATAGCATTCTGGACCTTGTGCTAACATCAGAAGAGGGCATGATCGATCAAATTCAAGTAGGAAAAAAGCTCACCCCATTATGGTGGGGATAGCTTTACTAGGAAAATGAGGAAGTGGATTAAAATTAGATCTAAAAAAATTGTTGAATGAAAGTAGTCCCATTAGTCATGCTCCTTGGGGTATGGAAAAGGTTATGATGGCTAGCATCCAGATGAACACCTTGATTAATAACAACTGCTACCAGAATAGCAGGATTACAGAAAGGCCATGACCATATTTCCATAGAAGGCAATACCACAGGTACATTGCCAGTCGGGAATACAGGTGACATGGTCAGGCAGTCAAGAAGAATAAGGGGACTGGACCCAGGATAGCAGCCTCATTAGACGTTGAGATGTAAGTCTTGTCCTAATCACACACCCAGACCTTGATGAAGCACTCAGGAGAGGGCAAAAGACTAGGTGTAAATTCCTTAAATTTCACAAATACACAAGTATGGGTTTTTATCCTATACTGTACAGTATTTCCATATTGTATTTGACTTGTATGAATCCGAGATTTACAAACATGTAACGTCACAATTTCAAAATTATGATACAGTAACACAAATGACACCATCTTTCATTCTCCCCTTGCAGGCCATCTCCAAGCGTAATCCACAACAATGAAAACTAACCTCATCATTATTGTAGCACAATGTAGCCTAGCCTTTACTGTATGTAATGTTGTGCATCTGCTTTTGAACAGCTTCAGCACACTACTAAGATCACAGAATTTCCTATCACAATATCTATGATGGATCCCATTACGCAGTCATATCACATCAGCTATCAGACAAGTGCCTGATAAGGGTGTGACAAACACTGATTACCATGGTGCTGGAAGATAAGGACACAAATTATACACTTCAATAAATATTGATTTAATTTAATAATCCATCTAATATTCTCTCTGAATTAAACACACTTTTATTTTTATTTATATATATATACACACGAGTTCTTACATTCTTGTACAGCCATTAGCACACGTAGCATTTCGACCAACTCTTTAATCCTATGTTCCCAGAATACGACCCAGCCAAATCATCTAACAACCAGAGACCCATTTTACTGTTGAGTAAACAGAGGCTACAGTTAAGGATTGACCCCCCAGTAAATCCTCCCCGCCAGGATACGAACCCTAGACAAAGAGCTCGCAAAATGCCAGGCAAGTGTCTTAACCACTACTCTACGGGGACTGCCAGACATTACATCCTCCAATCTGTTCAGTATTTTCAAGGTTTCCAATATCAGCCCTGTTGTTAATGGTTTGTAGTATTAATTATGAGGCCCTTAACTGTTTCTGGCATGAGAGTTGATTTACTTTTAGGACAATTTTTTGTTTACTCTTTATTGAACTTATTGATTGTTTAATTGTCAATTATTTTCAAAACTTTTAATAATTCCATTATGCTCCCATATTCCCCTGTTCTTCAAGTATTCCCTAATAACACCTACTTATTTTCTCCTATAGGACTTTTCATGTTATGCCCTTCCTAAGGATTGTATATCATTTGCAAAATATCTTGAACAATTTTTATGTTAGCCTGCTTCTTTTTAGTATTAGGTCTATGACAAGGGTCTACCTCATCAAATTGTTAATTTACCAGAATTTACCTGAGGGCCACTAACACACTAATGGCCTTGATAAGGACAGTTTAGTTAATCAACCTCACTCTTTTATTTAAGATAATCCCGAAACACGAACTGCATATTTTTGGCTTTACGTAATGTGCTTGTTTTACCTATGTACCTTCCTCTGTTCATGAACCTTATGTATGTACATTTGCATAAATAAAATTATTATTATTATTATTAAATTGGTATATAGGCCTAACATATATACTTGTGCAGACTGCCTGTCCCAGACAAAGATTATTAAATTGGTATATAGGCCTAACATATATACTTGTGCAGACTGCCTGTCCCAGACAAAGATAATTAAATTAATTATATGTCATTTAGAAAGTATGTAGTTATATGTAACAACATTCCATGCTAGTTATATGTAACTAGCTCACCACAAATTCATATATAAACTGCAAATAATTAATTCATTGTAAATGTAAACTACTTAGGTTCAAGATTGTTGTACTAGTTTTTAGACCCCTTATGTGACACTGAAAACCTTTCTGCAACTCACCCACAAGATGGAATGGGGCCCATAATAATCTAATTAACCGAACAAACTCTTGTTCATTGTGTTATGCTTCTCTTGGGATCACAGCTACGAGAGTCTGATAAAACAGTGAATTAATGTATAATTACTGTTGTTGGAGACATTGAGACTGAACTTAGGTTTACTTTAGTCCCCTTGGCTGCTACCAGTACTGAACCCCCAACGATTACTAAACACCTGGTGAAAGGAAATGCGCCAAAACGTGGTTTATAAAGATTAGTTATTTGCCTAGGTAAATGAATTTGGGGGTTCAGTTTCTGAGCCCATAGTATACCTGAGTAACATTTTCCACTGTCACTCACAGTATGGGTATGGGCTGCATAATTTTATTTGAATTAAACTAACAAACTGTTTACTGTATCATTTCCAGTATGGGTTGGGACAAGGGCAGATGAAGGTTGTGCTACCATTAACATATTCTTATCCAGCTGGTAACCTCAATATTAAATTATGTTGAACTGAGAAAGTAATATAAAATATGAAATTTAAATTTAAATTGAAGTAAGTTTATTGAGGTAAAATACACACAAAGGGATGAGGTAGCTCAAGCTATTCTCACCCCATCACAACTATAAAATATGTATTTAAATAATAAGCAAGTTATCTGGTTTTGAAAACTGCCACGCCCACGTAAAAATGTTCATGAAACCCAAAATACAACCCTATAACACATTGCCACGCTATGCAATTCTTCGGTTTTAACAAAAATAACATTACTTAAAACAATGAATTATAATAAAAAGAGTAACGTACGCGAATCAAGTTAATATAGATGAAACAGTTGGAGTCAGTAGGTATCACCTTCCCTCACCTCCCCTGTAAACACACTGCACCAGTGTGGCCAACCTCGCCTCTTCTCTCCTCAGTGTGCTAACTTTGGACATATTTCGCTAAGTTTCTAGTAATTGCTGTCAGTTGTTGCCAACCATTCCTAATACACATTTTTTGAATAATGCAGCAATACCTGAATTTACCTGAGGGTCACTGACACTCCAGTGACTCCGACGGACAGGAAGCCGGCGGCTTGTCAATGGTCCCCCTCCCCCATATATGGCCTGGAATTTTGGTATTTACGGGTTGCCAGGTATGCGGTTCCATGGGTGTATAATCCTATGAGTGTAAAAGTATCTTCTGTTTTGAGTCCTACATTCTGGATTGTCGAGCTTAAACCCGTTTCTCCTTGTTTGTATTGTATATGAGGAATTGTCCGGATTTGGGGAAGATAGGTGGTCGTCGTGCAGCTGTGGGGTTGGAGGAGATTTAACCGGAATCCAGAGGAATGGAGCGGATTGCCTGTGGTTCTGGGTTATGAATGATAATCGTAACCTGTGTGCGGCACTTGCGACCCCAGCTGTTTTTCACAGCTTGCTGTACTTCCTCCTAATGGTGTGATGGAAGGGGATGAGGAAACCAAGGCGATGTTGACTTTCACGTTGGAAACGAGGATGATGTTCCAGATCATGGTTCCGCAGTCATAGCTCGTTTGCGGCAGTTTACCCGGAGGTTGAGGTAGATCCGAATGACATGAATGGTGACTGGAAACGTATGCGGGAAATTAGTGTTGGAGTGACTGCTGAGGACAAGTAGCAACGCGTGTTAGTGGCTGTAGCGAGTAAACCTTAGACTCGCTCCATTATCTCATTATCTTAATGGCATAACTAATTAGCACGAACTACACAAGCTACAATCCTATCCCTTTTTACAGGTAACAATTCTTCCATTCACCTCTCCTAGTGTTCTTCCATCTATCTCTCCTAGCTCAGCAGAAGCTGAGGTGTAGTCACCGAATATATAACCAAGCGAATTGGTGGCCTATCCATGTCATGGGAGACATCTCCCGTCCACGAGGCTAACCATAGCCCGTGCTTCTTGCCCCGCTCCTGTGCCAGGTAAGTTACGGGCTCACCATAGCCCGTGCTACTTGGAACTTGTTCCGAGTAGCTGAATCTCTGGCCTATCCGTCCATTTGGTCCAGGAGACATCTCCCGTCACGCAGGGTGCAGTCGCACCTCCACAGGTCTCCAGTATCAGCTTTTGATACTGGTAATGGCTCAAAAGGGCCACCACTTACGGGCTATTCATGCCCGTGCCACCTCTTGGGTGGCTTAATCTTTATCAATCAATCTTCCTCATCTCACGGGAGACATCTCCCGTCACGCAGGGTGCAGTCGCACCTCCATAGATCTCCAGTATCAGCTCTTGATACTGGTAATGGCTCAAAAGGGCCGCCACTTACGGGCTATTCATGCCCGTGCCACCTTTTAGGTGGCTTAATCTTTATCATCATGGCCTATCCGAGGATCAGCACCATTTGGTCACCATTTGGTCCGGGAGACATCTCCCGTCACGCAGGGTGCAGTTGCGCCTCCACAGATCTCCAGTATCATCTTTTGATACTGGTAATGGCTCAAAAGGGCCACCACTTACGGGCTATTCATGCCCGTGCCACCTCTTGGGTGGCTTAATCTTCATCAATCAATCTGGCCTATCCATTGGGGGGGGCGGTGTGCAGGACAAACATTAATTATGACACTAGCTTTCCACATATGTCAGTTGCTTAATTTAGAAACTGTACTTTTGGTCGATCTGGAACCCATTGATGATGTGACGACGTATTGAATTTTGCAACTAGCTCATTAAGACTGTAATTTGCTTAGCTAAATGAATTGTGTGGTTCAGTCCCCTGAGCCCATTATGTGCCTCAGTAACCCTTTCCACTACCGCCCACAAGATGGTTATGGGGTGCATAATAAATGAACTAAACTAAACTGTCTGTATGATTCCATGTACTTAATTGATGTCTTTTAAAAATTTGTTTATTTTACTTTTAACTTTTATACATATAAATTCTTGCATAATAAAGTTAGTTTAGTTCATTTATTATGAACCCCATACCCATCTTGTGGGCGGTAGTGGAAAGGGTTACTGAGGCACATAATGGGCTCAGGGGACTGAACCACACAATTCATTTAGCTAAGCAAATTACAATCTTGAAGAGCTAGTTACAAAATGCAATGCACATCAGCACATCAACAATGGCCTCGAGACCGACTACAAGTACAGTTTCTAAATTAAGCAATTGGCATATGTGGAGAGCTAGTGTGACAATTTGTATTATTATCCTGCACACCGCCCCCCCCCCCATCCAGTGGGCAGCGGTGGATAGGTTACAATCACTTAGCTACTAGCTTCAACATTTGTTATAGAATTGCTCCTGGATGCGTATATCTTTTCGCACTCCATCACATAGTGACGGAGGGTGTGCGAATAATTTTCTTGACAGTTTACATTTGGTCAGGTCTACATCAGCAGATAATGAAAATTCCCAGAGATACTTTTAGTAGAGTCTAAACCGAGCAGTAGTAACCTCTAGGAGTCTGCTGATTTTATTGGATGATCCATAGATGTGTGCCTCCTCATGCATGATAGTATGATGATAGATGGAATTACTAATGTCGATTTAACTTTGCCTCAGATCTACAAGATTTTTTGTTGAAGGTATTGGTGTACTATTGCTCTCGTACTGCATATTTGACAATCCAAGGTTATTTTCAATTTCTCCATTAAATGTAGATGGAATCCACATTGAAATGGACTAGATAAAATGAGCAAAATTCTTGGCCCTGATAATTCGAATTTCATCAACCATAGATTATTGGCTACTCAGTAAGTAAATATCCTTGTCATACGCCAAAGTCTTGAGAACTGAAAACATGTTGCGAAAGTCATTAGCATTCCAGCAGAGTACTGTACATTAACACTCACTCAATCATGAGTTGCTTATCCATGATGTGAAGACAGAATACGGGTTGGGTCTGGGTGCATTGTGCAGCCGTCAAGGATGGTGTACCACGCATATGATTCAGTAACAA